AATTAATTTTGTTTTTGAACTGCAAGGTTCAAACATCAAACTGTCATCACTCCTGTTTGATTTTACAGTTTAATGATTTTGAGGATGCATAATAAACGATGATGAATTTAAGAAGAGGTATGTAGCTACATTTAAAAGTCCGAGTACTTTCTGATCAGATCAGATCCAATGATGAGAGAAGAGTGGAAAAGAAGCTTGTCAGCAACCTCAAGTATTCCTAAGATCGTGCTCACTATTAAAGAGCCTGGAGGCTTTGGCTTCATGAATGGTTTGTTGTGAAATTTTCTGTGAATTTGGATTTTTCTTTAAATGACAAGGAGGCGTTTCCCAGTTCTTTAATTCCACTATTCAAAAGTGAGCGAATGCTGGTGGTGGATGATGAAAGGTCAGCGCAACCGTGGTCTCTGAATAACATTCTATCATGTTGTGATCAAATCTGCAGGGCGTTAGAGAAGTCCCCTCCTCCCTTCTAACTTTTTACATAATTCAGGTTAAGATTTGAAACCTGAGAGACGTTCCTCGGTCAAAGGGAACGAGTTTTGGGCCCCCACAAAATTATCAGGCCCTTTTGGGGGTGCAATGGACCAAAGTTCTCTTTTTTAAAAGGTAAGAGCTCCCTTGTGATACCTATTTTAAGAGAATTTAAAACGAGAACATTTTCGCGCAATTTCGAAGTAATTATCTGAAACTGTTTTAAAATGGCAGCCGGTTAGATTTCAAAATGGCCAAAAATTGCCATCTCATCTCAATTTTTTGCCGATGGATTTGCCTGAAAGCTTGGAAACTGTCTAGGGGTATTTTGGCAAGAGAAGAAAAACGAATTACTAAATTCCCGACGAATTTTTAAATTTAAAATTGCACTCTTTCTGAAGCTAAAAGACGCATACTTATGATCCATGGAGGGTCCTAGAACTGAAACTTGAAATTGGGCAGGAACACTCATTGATGGCTGTAGTTTTTGGAAATATAATCACACTTCTTAAAAACTTCATACATCAGCATACCTCCGCTTCATTTGTATCCCCTTATCTCTTAAATTCTTCAGAAAGACCTATTACAAGGGGGAGAGAGGATCTTTCAATTTGAAAAAATAAAACATTGGGGTCTATTGCCCTTCCCAAGGAGGTGCTCCTTGAAAATNGGGGGGGGGGGGGGGGGGACGAAGAGTAGCCCTATTGACATAGGAACTTCTCTCAACATCGAATCTTCAACTCGATTACATAAAAAGTTAGCTGAAGGAGGAGGGAACTTTTACATCAACCTGTATGAGAGATCCCTGTATCACGAAGTACAATAGTTCATCATTGAGACATCCCTTTCATACAAGGCAGATGTATGTATGTGTGCACCCCTAGTTTGCATCAGTCCACTGATCAGTGATCTGTCAGTTGATGCAGTAAGTAATGGCGCTTGTTGTTACAACAATCAACCAGTATTCTGACCTATCTATTGGGTTGTGTGTCGCCAAGTCTATAAATAAATTACATAATTCACTTTTTTCATTTGTAGACCTGTTCTCCCTTAACGTTGTCATTAGGTAATAATACACTGAAAAATTCAAAATGAATGCACTGACAGCTATTGATTTATTAGAGCAGCAAGGACAAAAAACTAGGCAAAGTGTGGGAAAAAAATTACCATAAATACATTCTTGACTGGAATATCGATCAAATGGTACAAACAACTATTTGAAGACGAGTATTCAAACCACCCCTAATATTCGACCTCTGAAAAAGTTCAATTAAATGTTGGTTTTCTCAAAGACATTTTCTAATAAATGTTCCACTTTCATTTTTCTGACTTTTCGGGGTCGGTTGATTTTATGAAGTATTTATTTTGATGATTTCAGACAGAGACTTAACGTAATTTATTATTCACATAAATACTCATTTCTATTTGGAAAGATAAATTTCAAAAAGTTCATTTTAAGGAANNGGGGGGGGTCGTCAATAATTTGTCCACCATCTAGTCAATCGTGATCAACTCAATTTCTCTTTTCTTTCTTCCTCCCCTTGCGGATAGAGACAGAGGGTATTGTCATCTATAAATTTTTTTTTTTTTATAAATTTTAGTTTTATTTTGATTCCCACACATGGATAAAACTTCCTCAAGAAAAAGTCAGAGAAGTTTGTGCTAGCTTTTCAAGGTGTGACTGATTACTGTGAGGGTGTGAATGTGTGTGTGTTGGAGCGCGCACGATTTTTCACATCCTCGGAAGTATAGTGCGTCCCGTATGTGCGTGGGTGAGAGTGTGTGTGTGTATTACTTAGTTAACTGTCTTACTTGCGGTAAGTATAATTTTACATTTTAACCAGAAATTTCTGAGAACGTTCTTGGTAAAGTCTCTACTAAGATATGGGATTATTCGGAAGGGGAGAGCCGTAGGGGACGTAAGCCTCCCCCGTTCGCCCGAAAAAAGGAGGAAAAAGAGAAGAAAGAAAGAAAGAAGGATGCCTATTGGAAATTTTTCATTACGAAATTGACTAAAACTGCATATTAGATACTTTAAAATTGCAGGAATTTCTTAACTTGGGAATAGACGAAACTAGAAATGAAGAAACAATTTTCTTTGAGAGGACAATACCTACCTTCTCTACATGAAAAGGGCAGAGTAAGTTAAAGGAAATTATGACTGTCAAGGGAATTTTCTAGGAGGTCTAAGAGGAAGAATTCTTCAAAGCTGTGAGCACAAATTGTCATTATTAAATGCAGAGCAAAGAGGACGGGGCGCATAGTGCAGTATTTGCTATTTCGAGAAATAAAAGTTAAAATTTTTAAAATTGCATGGTGCTTTATAATGGAGAGAAAGTTCAAACTCACGCTTTGAAATTTTTTGATTAGATTTTACAAGTGAATTTTTCACACAAAATATTTCCAGGCTATTTTCAGAGGAAATTACTAATATCTATACTATTTCAGAAACTGCTTCTACTTATGCATCTTATCTTCCAAGCCAAATTTAAAAGTGCATCAGGAACAAGCTGAAATAGGAGGTTGTAGAAATGATGATGAAAAATTGTTGGACTTGACAGTCCATAAATGCCTCTTTATCAAAACCAGAGACAATAAATCTCATAGGAGGCAGCATCTTTTCACTTCTCAATGGTTTGTCATGCACCATTGTCAAAACATCTGCTTCATTTAATTATTGGTTATTTTGGTCAGTCTGCCCTGATGATGGAGTATTGTCCTTTCCTAAACGCTGTATTTTGCTCATTCGATTCATAACCATTGTGCCATCTCACTTATTTAAAAGTTTGCTCACTGCCATGTTTAACAGAACAAATAATATGCATTACATTACAAAAGCTGTTCTTATCCATTACACTAACATTTTAAAATATTAAAAAGTATGTTCTTCCTGAAATAGTTGAGCCATGCCCCGGCCTCAAGGTTATTCTGGCATGCAAAACCTTGAAGTTGGGGCATGGTTAAAACATTTCAGAAAGTACACGCTTTAAAATATTGAGAATGCGTTTCTCTCAAAACAAGGATTTTTCTTTAAACACCCTCTTACCGAAGTTGTCCTCAGTTTCTCTTCACAAAATTACTAACCTCCAAACAATATAGAAGAATTGACTGTCACAGATATAAATATCTAGTACTTGCATTGACTTTTCACAAAAAATGTTATGAATGAGACAAAGACGATACAATATAATACATAATAGTAGGGGAGGGGGAGGATTTATGATTCAGGGAACTATGTGCATGGGGTCTGCGTGTAATATAGTTCCTTTCAGTATGATGGTGTCCATGTTTTGACTCTGCTAAACTTTAAAGAGCTGATTCCTATGGAAGCAAGTTAACACCATCGTTGTGACCCAATTACATGTTTACATTGTTTGTTTTGTTTGATGATTAAAGGTGAAACTTTAAATATTCAGGCATGTGAGGCATGATAAAAAAAAAGGGAACAAAAATTCAAGACCAATGCTACATCTTTGTAGTATGAAGACATATCAGCACTAAAAGCGCAAAGAGCTATGTTAACATATGAGATGATAATTTGACATCCTGAATCAGGGCTTTCATGAACAGGTAGGAAAAATGAACCTGTTGGAAATTGGAACCCACGACAAAAATTTTTAGAGATAGAAATTGAAATTCAGCATGACAGATACTTGTGTACCTGACAGACTAACTTCTGGATGTGAGGGATGAGGTTCCTTGTCGCAATTGAGCTAAATATATGTCGCAAAATGGATACGAAATGAGGATGGATGAAATTAACAAAATTATGGTTTCGGTGATTTGGGTTACACGAAACATTCACTGAGAGGGTTAGAGCAGCCTGACAATTGGAGGGAATGACCTGAGAGATTTGAAACTCATGAACAAAGTACAGGGTGCAGGATAAGACAATGCTCCAACTCCAAAACGGGTTGACAAAAGCAACCAATAAAGAAATGGAATAGAGTATGACAGTGAGGGTACATTGAAATAGGTGAGCTTACGGCGCTTGTAAAGTTTTGACATGATTCCTTAGATGTGTGATGGTCCCAACTGGGGTCGCTACATCTCTCCCCGGATCTCTCTGATAAGACAACATAAGCACTGATAGTTATAATAATATTGATGCAGAATTGGCACTTGGCCCCTACAAATTAAAAAATAGTTGAGTAAAAACTCTCTGGGATAGGGTGGAGAGTCAGCTGAGGTCAAAGAATAACATTAATGTTAATGTGGACACAGAAATTCCACTGACAGAGATCTTTGAGGTTGGCTGGTCAACTGAGCATAGGCTAAGGAAGTTGCCATCTACTTGAGGAGTGAAACTAAATGCATGCTGACTAATTCAGGGCGATGGCATATTAAATACCAGCGACAGTATTAAGAGATGACGATCAACCGTGTTAAGCATGCAAAAGTGGGTAAAGAAAGGAGAAATGATGGCATGTCACTGCAGAATAGGCCACCAAAATGTCTCCATCATTAATACCCTGTTAAGTTGAGACTGACTATATACATCAGTAGTGATATACTGAGAAATAATTTACCTCGGACACGTCCTCTTCTTCGCTTTCAGAAGAGTCGGATACATAGAGCGGCTGAAGTTCAGAAAAAGATTCTGTTTCAGATATATTTGGGATGTTGTTGGACAAGAGGGGAGTAGACGATTTTCCCAAATCCAGGCAATTCACCTTATCTAAACTCTGTTTATCTGAAGTCGACACTTGTGCAACATTCTGCATTTTCAAATATCTAGTAAACGTGAAACATTAATTAAATTGTAAGGTGATATAGGATCTGGGATAAGAACTGAACTGTATTACGACGATTCGGGAACAAGGAACAATTGCCGTTTACTACTTACAAACTTCCACACTCCATGTCCATGACTGGGACCAGGGACTGGGTAAGGTGAGGAGGGCGGTCTCTCTTCATCGGACATCGGCAGTAGTCAACCCCGATTTTGCGCATTTGCAGTGACGTCAAAACTGTGTGAGCAGGCGCGATAATTTAAAAAATTGCTGACCATCTAAAAATTGTGAGCATAATTAAACGGAACTTTACTTATACTGCAAACTGCCTGAGCTGACCACCCTCCCCCCTCAGTTTTCTGCTGGTACTCATTAGAGTTAAAATTGTTTTACTCTAATTGAAATTTTTGGAATTTCTCGCCTTTGATTTCCCCGCGAAATGGTGTGAACCCAGCATAGCAGGTACCGAGGCCGAGGCAGCAGGTAGGAGGCCTTTCGCCCAAACTTTTTACCCCAATAGCCAAAATGTTCAGAGTCATTTGTCCCTACTTTTTTTCACCCTAAAAACCACCAAAAATTCATCCAAAGAAAATTCACCCAACAATTTCACCCAATAATTTAGAAAGAAAATCAGAGGAAGAAAAATTGGCCTTCGGCCAATTAATTCGCGGCAAGCGTAGGTTTGGACCAGTATTGGAGATATTCTAATTCCGTGCCTGCTTCCTTGTAGTCTTAACTTTTCATACTTTTGCGCCCTTGCTTTTCTCACTTTCCTTCCAGCTTCAATCTCTACAATTTTCTTCTCTGTACCTATCGGTCTGTTCTTTTGTCAGCTGGCGGAGCAAATACTGTATGGAGGGATGTTCTTTCTCACGAGGGTTTAGAACCGATTGTGCCACCCCTCGGTGGCATTGTTGGTCCGCGGACCATCTTCATTAACTGACCTGACCGGTAGTGATTTCCTCTGGAGGGTACATGGGGAGGCGTCAGTCTCACCCGTCGCCCGTCGCCGAACAAGCTTCCATATGATCCGCTCACATAATGTCCTTTCAAAATTCACTAAGGTTTCCATGCTATCTGGTAGTGTCGGCTTCAGCAGTTTGAACACGCGCACCACGTCATCTGCCGGGACGAATGCTAGGGCTAACAATTGGGAAAATCCAATTTTTACCTCTCTGTTACTAGATTTATTGTATTCCACTTGCAAACCAAGCGTTTACACATGCCTCGAAACACTTTGGGCCAAATGGAAAAAAACAGAGCACAATAGGTTACGCGACGCTGGAAAACTTGCTTGGAAGCGCTTATAGGTATTATGCCCATTTCAAAGTCACCAACTCACCAAGTATGGAATGCGAATGCGGCTGGAGAATTCCATTGGCGGGTAAGACATCTCGACATGGGTGAAATAACCAGGGCTAAAATTCCTTGGGCAAAAGGATATTGGGTGAAAATTCCCGTGGGTGAACAGGATTGGGTGAAATGGCATACAATACGATTTCTCCACCTTGTTACTTACATCCACTTTATTACATTTCCCAAGTAGCATTTTTCAACGGAAAAATCGCGATTATAGGTATGCGATTTAATCGGCGATAAAATCGCTAGGATCATCAACATCTGAGCGATTATCCTTGATCTTTTCGCGATCTTATCGGCCCGAAAAAATTGCGATTTTATCGCGATAAGATCGAGGATAATCGCTCAGATGTTGATGATCCTAGCGATTTTATCACCGATAACTATGCTTGGCCGTTTTTGCCTAAAACAGAGTTGCTAAAAGAAATTTCATCGAATGAAATTTCTTTTTTCCCAATGAAATTTCTTCCGACCGACAAAATGTAAAAAATGCTTATTTTTTCTGACAGAATTTGTTTTTATTTTTAAAGAGAATAATATTCGTCAATTAGACCAATTGGAGCGCGGTCTTCTCTCAGCTCTTCTCTTCTGGTCTTCTCTTACTCTTTCTCTTCTGGCAATTCTGGCTCATCAAGGGGAGGGGGACCGGGGACCCTAACCTCAAATTTCAAACTGTTAATTTTTGAAAAAATCATTTAAATTGTTTCAAGGATAGTTCAAGATCCCTCCCTCCCTTTTGTACCAAAAAAGAAGGATATACTATTAGGGGGTACTTACTAGGATTCTTTATAGTCAAGAAATTTGTTTTGCTCCAAATATGAAAGCTAACGTTTTACTTTATCCGTAAAATTTATTTTGGTGTTCAACCGGTACGGCTGCGTGTTCAACCAAAATTTAAGAAAAAAAATTCAAAATTACTTATGTTTTTACTGTTTCACTCAACTTTCTGGGCATTTCTAAAGTTCCCTTTCACAGTTTACCACGTGCATATAATTGAGCTTAAGGAGATTCATAAGTTTCAAGGGTTTAATCGACCTGAATTCTGCGTGTTAAATGAAATTTCTTTTTATAATCTTTCATGAAATTTCTTAACTCTGGCCTAAAAGGAAAAAAATCCCTGTGAAAGAATTATTTCCCGTGTGGGATTTTTTTCCCTTCACGAATGGGCTTTTGTCCCATGTGTGGGAATTTTTTTCCTTGTGTGTGATATTTTTTTCTTGTGTGTGATTTTTTTTCTTGTGTGTGATGTTTTTTTCTTGTGTGATTTTTGTTTCTTGTGTGTGATGTTTTTTTCTTGTGTGTTGTTTTTTTCTTGTGTGTGATTTTTTTTTTCTTGTGTGTGATTTTTTTTCTTGCGTGAGAGAATTTTTCGTGTCCTTACTTTTTTCTGCCTTAGTCAGATTTCATGGGTTTGCCAAATTTTGCAAATAAAAAAAGAGCCGTGAATTGTGATCGATATATCTCAAATAACGATTAATCGACCGGGCTCGATCTGATCGACACCGGAGTTGACGAATACCTCGTCTACAGCGTTGCCGCGTATAATTGTTAATTTCACAGAACACGGCTAACCATAGTATGGCCGCTCCCGTCGCATTCATGCATGCCAACAGGTCCATTTCTACAGCCCTCCGCCCCCCCCCCCCCCNCCCTCCGGCCCCCCACTCAGGCACGTATACATATATGCACTCAAAAAGATTCTGAAAATTTTTGAAATTTTAACTCTATTTGGACGCATTTCGGAGCTTCCGTGTCGCAGATTTTGTCGCGTATAATTGTATATGTATACGTGCCTGAGTGGGGGTCGGAGGGCTGTAGAAATGGACCTGTTGGCATGCATGAATGCGACCGGAACGGCCACACTATGATTGGCCGATGGCCGTGTTCTATGAAATTAACAATTATACGCGACAGCGCTGTAGACGAGGTATTCGTCAACTCCGGTGTCGATCAGATCGAGCCCGGTCGATTAATCGATTATTTGAGATATATCGATCACAGTTCACGGCTCTTTTTTTATTTGCAAAATTTGGCAAACCCATGAAATCTGACTAAGGCAGAAAAAAGTAAGGACACGAAAAATTCTCTCACGCAAGAAAAAAAATCACACACAAGAAAAAAAAATCACACACAAAAAAAATCACACACAAAAAAAATCACACACAAAAAAAATCACACACAAGAAAAAAAATAACACACAAGAAAAAAACATCACACACAAGAAAAAAAATCACACACAAGAAACAAAAATCACACACAAGGAAAAAAATTCCCACACATGGGACAAAAGCCCGCTCGTGAGGGGGAAAAAAATCCCACACGGGAAATAATTCTCTCACAGGGATTTTTTTCCTTTTAGGCACAAACGGCCAACCATAGTTAACATCGCCAAAAAAAAGGGGTTAACGCTGTTAGCCGACTGCCGTTAGATTCCGCCGTCAGGTCCTTTGACAAAGTCGAGCGTAAAAACCCGGAACCTCCGCGGGGATTCGAACCCCAATCGCTACGGCGGAAGGCCAGCACTTTGCCACCAGGCTATGGCATCTATATGTCTAACGAGTGCGAATTGAAGCCTCTTATACATGGATCGGCGCTTCGCAACCTTACAACTTATGTCTTTGCGTTGACTGACACCGAGTTTTCATTGGATTTTTTTTTTTTTTTATTNCATACCTTGAAATACGGTTGGTAAAATAAGGTTCTATTGGTAATCTCATCATTCTGTCTCTGTAAAATTACCAATAATAGTGAGATGGCAAAGTTACCGATGGACCTTGGTAAAAACGCCAATACTTTTTATCGACTGTGGTAGAATTACCGAGATAAAATGGTAAAGTTACCGGGAATTGATTACCAATAAAAGTGGTACTCTTACCTGAAAAAATCAGTAAAAATACCGGTTTTTAGGTAAGCTTACCAGACTGTCTTTGTAACATTACCAATAATTGATAAAAAAAATGAGATGGTTAAGTTACCAACGGACCTTGATAAAAACGGCGGCGGCGGCATAGAACATCTTTCATAAAGTGTCATTTATGCGTTAGTGGGCGTTGATGAAAAATTGCAATTTTATCTCTATAAAATCGCGATTTTATTGCAATTTATCGCGATTTTTCTCCCGATAATATTGCGATGAATCGCCGTCGATAAAATCGCGATTTTTTATCCGATAATATTGCAACAAATCGCAACGTCGATAAAATCGTGATACATTCTCCGATTAAATCGCAATTCTAGTACGCTACTAGTAGAAGTAGTATTAGTAAATCGTTCTGGATAATTGAAATTCATAGGTTGGCTGCATTTCTGGGCCCTAACTTTATTCGCAGAAGCATCGGTGAAGGCCTGATGGATTTTCGGAGTTTCACATCTGTCCATACTCTCGCTATACAGGTACTCTAGATCCCTCCCTCCCTTTTGTACAAAAAAAGAAGGATATACTAATAGGGGGTACTTAGTACTCGGATTCTTTATGGTCAAGAAATTTGTTTTGCTCCAAATATGAAAGCTAACGTCTTATTTTAAATTTATTTTGGTGTTCAACCGGTACGGCTGTGCGCTGTGTGTTCAACCAAAATTTAAGAAAAAAAATTCAAAATTATGTTTTTGTTGTTTTACTCAACTTTCTGGGCATTTCTAAAGTTCCCTTTCACAGTTCACCACGTGCATACAAATGAACTTAAGGAGATTCATAAGTTTCAAGGGTTTAATCCTGAATTCTGCGTGTTAAATGAAATTTCACGAAATTTCATGAAATTTCATAATGAAATTTCTTTTTATAATCTTTCATGAAA